GTGACCCCTTGTTCTCCCCCACTTTGCCTATGGGGGTGTGTCAGATTTATATGACATAGTTTCTGTAGGCTATAGTGGGGTAGCATATATGGGGTACAGAGTTTCTAGGGTTGTATTTGTACCCAATCTTCCATAGTCATTTCATTCCTGTTTTCCTTCCTTCACATGACCAAACGTGATAGCTTTTTGGGGCGAGGTGTGACCATCCGTGATAGCACTGTAATCACCCGCGATAGATATCTACCGTACTATGACTGTTTGTAATATCCTTATAACCAAACGTGATAAACCGGGCTTAGTTGTGACTGCTTATATAATTTCCCGGCGGAGAACGTCCCCTAGCACACTACACAAAGGACATAAAATATGTTGAGACACCCTCACAGCCAAGTTCCAATCGTCCTGAGGGCGTGTCCCATGAGTTTGTTTGGGGAGAAAATCATTATTTTTACGTTACTGAGACAAGCAAATGAATGTGCACTCTTACGTAAAAAAACACGCAGCGCGTCAGCACAGAGCCAAACGAAATTGACCCACGGCGGACTCATAGCCCGGCCCACACAAAAATCGTCACCCGATTTACATTTGACATAGGCCACGAGCGGTAACCCGTCCCACTGCGAAACCATTATGCCCCTTGCGACGCTGAGTTACGTTCGCTCGACTGAGTGCTGCGCGAATTTTCAGATTAAGGTAACGGACTGCAAGACCTGGTACGAGGTGATCGCACGTACCTTGTACGCGGGGTAATACGAACCACTTGACGTCCTAGGCAAGTCATTAAGGTGCGTCATTGAAGACGCATGTCACGCAGTCTCGTAATTCAAAGGGTTATAGGGTTACAATCCTGAAATCGTACTGTCAACGAACGCGCTGGACACGCCCTAACTCACAAATTTATCCAAGTGAAAAATCTTTCTAGTCCAACCCGCGAGATGTTTCTGACATCTACAGTAAATGAACACCAAGTGCTGCCCGTCGTGTACGTCACATATCCGGACTTGTTTCACTCACATGCCGCCCGCTTGGTGTAAAGCGCCGATGGTTACTGTACTAGAAACGTCTTGCCATGTCCACACAAACCCACACATGCGCATGACGCCAAATGAAGCCGCACGAAGGCGATCAACGGGCACGAAGAGGTACATGGAAACGAGCTGTGTAGGAAAGTTTCAAATTAAAGGGGTATTTTTTCAGACTCCCTAGATTAGTACACCTGATGCCCGTTTGAGTTCCCCTACTTTGGTTGTTCTCTGGGCTTATAAACGTTTTATGTATTTCGTTCAGTTCGTTCCATTTTGCCAGGGTGTTGAGGTGCTTCTAAAAAACACAGGCTGTAACTCGTTTGTTTTTTCCAAAACAATGCTGGTGGGCCTGTGCTGTTGTCAGTTCAGGGTTTCGGGTTTATACTTGTTTCTGGCCAAGAAACAAGAACCTACCGGGTCAGCATGGTTTGTTTTGCGCCTAAGATTCATACTTTGGCGTTTTCTCGCCCAAATGCAAGTTGATCCGCGTGCCTATTATCTGGGTGCAACTGAGTGGAAAAAAAAACACGGGTGCAGAGTTTCTGAAATGTGCAAGGCAAATTCGCGCGCAGTGATTGGGCATCATGTGTACCAGACTTCAGCTTGAAGTCTCTATGAGAAACATTCGACTCATGAGTGGATATGTTTCCAACTATTTCGGATATCTGGAATGAAGTGCTGTACCGCAAACGGTTTTGGGTTTCCCTGAATTAAGTATCGGTATCATTTGCGAAAGCTACAAGACAAAGCATTTTTCGCAAAATTCTTCGTGGCCATCGAAATGCATCAATTTGACAGCAACCACATGTTCATCATTTTGCCTTCCAAAGAAGGTAACAAGGAAACAGGACCATGCTCCAGAGCCTTTCTTCTCCACTCCCACTCATTCCTTCACCTTTTCATCCCTTACAGTTCTATTACTATAGTACTATAGTAGTAAGACCAACACACAAAAATTGCTGTGCTACTATCCGGCTTCAAACACCCTACTTATTCCTAGCAACTTAGGAGTATGACGGACTTAGTAATCGATGAGGCTGGCGTTACTGCAACCAATATGAGCTCCGCCAGTGCCGTAGGCAGCAACCGTCGCGTCACATCTATGTTCAGCACAAATAGCAACAGGCTTCCGGCAGCAGTCGTGAACGGAGACGGCCACACGTGGCTCAAATACGGCAAAAAACACATCGGAAACCATGTCAGGTCGTAAAATGTCGGGCTGACCTTATTATTTCAAATAATTGAATAGGCTATTTCTGGGATACGGTGAATAGATTGCTAACTTGAATGACCTTGAGACCGCTTTCGAAGCAATGTCCTTCGAGAAACCTATCGATTAGAAAAAAATATTTCCCAACTGGAAGGTTTCAACCTAACTTTTAACGCCACTAACCTTTTTTGAGGTGTCAAATAAACCCAACTGATGTTGGGCCCTACTTCTTCTGTAGAGGTTTCCAAACACTCGGCCTGAGGCACAGGCTCCTCGTCTTATTGCCTCCTCAATGCAATCCTGTACCTGTCCCAACCTTATTGAATAATGAGTTTGGGAACCCATCTCTGAGGACAAGGTTTTATCCCAAGTGGGATCAGTTACCAGACATCATTTCAGAAAAGGCGTGATATCCCTGGATACCACTGTACAAGTCTCTTCCTGTGGTTATTTCAGGAGCCCATCAGTTTTATTCCCAAATATAGTTGCTGAAATTTCTCAACCTGAGTGGTAGCTTCGAAGCGAGTCACTTGACAACCATGAATCTCTTTGCAGAGATTCTCACAAGTTCTTTAGTACCTCTGATCCCCTCCCCCCCTTCCTCCTCCCCCCTCTCCCCCAGATACTATAACCTAAAGCATGAGGCACTCATTCCCATGTTCCATGTTCCATGATCTTACCATGTCCCATGTCCCATGTTCCCTGATCTTACCATGTTCCATTCCCCTCTCCCATTTTCTCCTTTTTTGTCAATCCCACACGCGGGTTTTATGATAGCAGAGGTGTTTGGATGAGACTCTGCGGTGATCATCATTCTCACATTCCATTCCCCTTCTCACTTGCATTCCCTATTTCTTCACCACTCCCATACGCAGGTGCTAGGACAAAAGTGGAGCTTGGACCAAGATCCCTGAAGCAATGCCTCTATATTTCAATCCTCTTCCTCATCTTTCTCTTATGTCCTTACCCCCCCTGCATTGGTGCGAGAACAACGGCTTGGTCCAAGATCCCCGAAGGATGAGATGAATCCCAGAAACCATTCCTCTCTCACATCTTCCTCTGCTGCTAGAACAACAGGTGTGACTGGTCCAAGATATCTGAAGCTTGAGTTGTTTCCTCACTCCCACATTCCATTCCTCTCTCACATGTGTATCTTATCCCTTTACCCTCTTAACTTAGGTGCTAGGACAATGTGTCCGCTTGGTCCAATACTTATGAAGCCCGAGGTGCTTCATTCCCATATTCATTTTCGAGCATGTTTCTCTTATCCATTCACAGCAGAGAGTCTCACGTGTTCCTCGTTCTCTTATCGCCGCAAGCAGGTCCTATTACAGCACGAGGTAGTACGCTAATAGGTTCAGCTACCTTCTCAAATTTCTAGTTTCTCCTCATCCAAAACGCAGGTGTTCGAGACTTTTGAAGCCTGATGTACTCCATTCTCACTCTCTTTCCCTCCCATTCACTATCTCTTCACCCACCTTCCCCTCACACGCAGGTGCTATTACAACAGATGATCTTGTTCCTGAAGCATGAAATAGACTCTACATTCCTTTCCACTGCACTTCTTTCTCTTATCTCTTCACCCCCCTCACGGAGTAGGTATTAGAACAACAGGTGTGCTTCGATCAAGTGACCTGAAGAATGGGATCATTACCAGACCCCCCCCCTCTCACATCTTTCTCTGATCTCGTTACCCTCCCCACGTTGGCGTTACAAAAACCCGTGTTCCTGGTCCGATATCTATGAAGCCTGAGCGACTCCTCATCTTCATGTTCCATTCTACTCACACATGCTTCTCCTATCTCTTTACCCCCCTCGCATAGGTGCAACGACAACAGGCGCGCTTTGTCAACGATCTTCTGAAGCTTGAGGCACCCTACCTTCCCACATTCCATTCCTCTCTCACATGCTTCACTTATCTTTTGAAACTCCTCAGATAAATGCTAGGACACCAGATGCGAATGTTCCAAGATTGCTCCCCATTCTCACATTTAGTTCCCATCTCACATGTCTCCCTTATCTCATTACCCCCATCATAAAAGTAGTAGAACAGCAGGTGTGCCTGGATCTGCATTCCGGACCTGCCTTCCTGAAACCTAAGTACTCCCCACTCCATTCCTATTGCACGTGTTTCTCTCATCTCTTTACCCTCCACTTGTAGGTGCGAGCCGACGGGTGCGAGACGACGGGTGTGCAACGTCCAAGATCCCTGTATCCCGAGTTTCTCATCCTCTCCCATGCTTCTCTTTTTATCTTTATCCCATTGCGCAGGTGCTACTACAGGTGTGCCTGGTCCAAGAGCCCGGAAGACTGCCCTGCCAGAAAAACCATCGACTTCGGCCCTACACGCCCGACTAGTAGCACCGCCACAAGTTCTCACCTCCCTGCCGCTAACGCCAACGGTTTATTCAGCAGCAGTGCAACACCGCATGCCATGGTAGCAGCACCTGCCGAAGACCTACGAGCAGACACTGCCAGCAGCATTCTAGTCTACCACTCAGATGCAGATTGCGGTCCAGAAAAAACTCGCCTCTCAGCAGCTTGCCACGAGCTCACACTTGTTACGGTGTACCATCACAACCACAACCACCAGGCACGGGGGGCTCCCCCACGCCGCCACAAGCGGCAAGCGGCCCGGCTTGAGAAGGCGGCAGCTGCGGCGGCAGCAGCAGCGACCGTCAGCAAGCTGGTCAAAGCAAGGACGCTTTCCCCAAGGCTCACAAATATTCTTGCCAAGGCCCAGGAGAACTGGCTAATGATGGGTG